TTTAAGTAGAACTAAAACTGAATACATGGAATGTAATTTTAGTAGTAATAGCTCTAGTGACAAAAGTGTGACTTTGGGTGATCAAATTATTTAAAGGTGTGAACGATTTAGATAACTTGGGACCTTTATTCAAAGCGACGGTGATATAGATGGTGATGTTAATAGTAGAATTCAAATTTCCTATTCCTGTTGGATTACATCAGGGATCGTCTTTAAGCCATATCTTTTTGCTTTATGGATGATCTTAATGGACATTTACAGAAGGATGTACCTTGGAGTCTTCGGGCCTTTTGTGTGATAGAAAAGTACCGCTTAGACTGAAAGGAAAATTTTATAAGACGGTGGTGTGACCTGCAATGCTCTTTGGCGCTGAATGTTGGCCTTTAAAAGAGAAGGATAATAATAAGTTAAGTGTTGTCAAGATGAGAATGATTAGGTGGATGAGTGGCTTTGCACTTAGAGACAAAATGCGAAATGAATATATCCGTGATAGGGTTGGTGTAGCTCCTGTGACGGACAAAATTAGAGAAAGTTTTCTTAGATGGTTTGGTCACATTAAACGTTGACCATCTGATGATCTGATTAGGAGAGTAGATATTTTAGATTCGACTTGTGTTAAGGAAGGCAAAGGTAGACTTAGGAAGACTTGAGCTTATTTTATTAAAAATGATCTTAATTTACTAGAAATAAATGAAAATATGACACTAAATAGGATGCAATGGAGAAAAAGGATTCATGTAGCCGACCCCATGTAGTGGGATTAAGGTTTTGTTGTTGTTGTTATTGTATTTTTAGAAGTTTAGTCACGATGAAACCTACAATCGAATTGGCTTTATTAGCATACTTGGGAGTGCCTTTTATAATGCTTTACATCTTACCTTAAGATGTCGGAAGATTGTGAAATCAAAGGCATTTATGCTGTGTGTATTTTATAGGTGACGTCCTTAGTTTTTTTTTTTTTTTTTAAATATCAACACTGATGCTCAACATGCAAGCCTGGGTATATAAGGTTTGGCGTCTGAATTTTCTATCAAGATCTTTTGGTCATGGTTCAGTAAAATTTGTATTGCTTACAAGCCTTGCACTGCATTCACCATGTAACATATATTGACTTGATTCAGATCTTTTGGAACGTTGAGTCCGTTCCTGGATTAACTCATCCTTAAAGCTATCTTAAGTCTTCACTTCAAGATTTTTGCCTTATAATTTAAGGTTGATATATTCAGTGGTTATAATGGATCTGTCTATCTCCTTTAGGAGTCTTCTCTATTCGATGGCAAGGAGAACCTTTTGGCTGGAATGCTTTACCTCAAAATTTGTCGTTGATACCTTCTAACATCATTTCAAAAGAAATTTGTATCATCCTGTTGTCAATTGTTGGTGGTCACCATATTGTAGCTTTTTCAAGGTTAGTATCTTTTTTAATGGAGTCTTACCTTGAAGCAACTTGTAGAGGAAGCTAATCCAATTATGTACTTAACATTTTCCCTATTGGTTTTTGAAGAAGACCATTTGAAGGAGTTGCAATAAAATCACAAATAGTCTGCTTTTTTTGGTGGCATCTTTTTTGAAACTCAAATCTTCTAGAGCTTGACTAATTCTGAAGCGGGTTCTTTAATAAGTTACTCCTTAATGTGTCTTGTTGAAGGAAAATGGAGCCATGAAAGAAGCCTTAGCTCCTTCTGAACTTATATTGGTAGATTTTTGGGAGTTATATTACCCGAAATGACCACACCCTAACAAAATCACACCCCAATGCTCTCCTCATAAAATCTTTTATGAAACTCAAATCTCTTGAAACTCTTTGACTTTTCATGTAGCGACTTCTTTAATAAAATTCGCTTCTTCATGTGCTTTGTTTCAGGAAGGAAACCATGAATGAAACCTTGTATCCTTCTTCTAGCCTTTTTGTGTTTAAACCTTGTAGTGGTGGAACATTGGGGCTTGTGATGCCACAGATGCCACACCATTGTGCTTGGCTAGTGCGGGTTTACTAGGCCCTAATTTTTTAACGTACTGACGGGCCTTTCAGTGGAAAATCAGAAGGAGTTATATTGTTCAAGGACTTGCATTTTTTTTTATCCTAAGTAAATATTCCTTAATTACTTTAATTAATGAAGCTAAAGAAAAAATCATTCCCACTATTAATTATGTTGATGTGTCTTGATTGAATGACAGTCATTAGTATGCTTGAAACTAATACCTTTGTGAAGCTTGGTCCAAGCTAAAGTGCGCATGGAACTACAATTTCTTTTTTTTTTAGACAGCTTGTTAAACTTATATTTGAAAAATCCCTGAAATATACTTTTAAGTGTTTATTATCGATAATTAGCTATAATGTAAAATCCCTGAAATATATTTTTAAGTGTTTATTATCGATAATTAGCTATAATGTTGTGAACTTCTGGTTCCACCTTGTTACCTTTATCTTTATTAAGGTTTGCACTTTGCAGTTTTCTTAGTGGCCTTCCACCTAAAATAAAAACAAGATTATTTACAAAAAAATTAAAATATATTTTATGCCATGCTGATGTATATATATAATCAACTTTAGGCATACTTTTTGCTCACAATATGTTCTTAATATGACTAGAACATCATCCCCTTCAAGTGGTTATACGCTTGTTGTTTGGTAATAGTTTATTGTAACATTTTATTAGTGCCATTAAATATAATTCTAATGTAAATTAATGCACTAATATCTTTGAAAAATTTATTCTATCAACTTTTGCAACTCTAGGTAAATCGTATAATTCTTTGGTAGGAGTTTTGCATACTTCAAATTGAGCCCTAATTATTGTTTCGACTATTGGCAAGAGGTGCGGCATATGTTTCTTTAGGCAATGAATTACTTCAATTGAAGGATACCTGGCTGGAGATGACAGAGACAAATCTAGTATATATTGCTCGAAATGGTGAATTGAGGCGGTGTAGAATAATGTTCTCATGTTGTTTTGTTTGCTAGGGAGAGATCAAGATTACACACACGAACGTGAAACTTTGTGGTATAGTTTGCCATCAGTGCCCATTTATTCTTTGTTTCATCTCCTTTTTAGTCATTTTTTTCACCACATCTACCACAACTAATGATTCAATGATATATCACAAATTAGAGGCTTACAAGCCAAATTTTAGTAATTTGCCTTTTTGTTACTTAGTACTAATTAGTTTGCCTTGGGCAGTCTGAAGGTGCACATGCCTTACATTGCATTTCAAGGCTCTTTTGATAAAAATTAACAAGAGTTTTTGTTTTGAATAGATTATAGGCTTTATAATTTTTTGTATTTAAGCTATTTTGCATAGATGCTTATTACCCTTGCATCTGTATACCCAAATATTTCAGGAAATCATGGTTTTGGCTCAATTAAACTCGGCTTGGTTTAGGGAAAATTGTATGAATAAAAAGGGTAAAGACGACGAACTCACCACAGTCCATCATGACTTGTCAAATACCATGATGAACTCATTTGGATCAAAAGAAGTCGTCAAGATCAGCCTGAGGTTAGAAGGTTTAGCACAAACTCATCAGGATAGCATGAACTCACAAAGATCAAAATGAACTTGCTAAGCTCATCATGAACTCATCAAGCTCGGCATGAGGGTACCATGTTTAGCACAAAATCTTCAGGCTCAACATGAACTGGCTAAAAGTCTTATGATCTCATTAAAACTTAGAAGCTATTTGTCAGTCTTGACCAAGGAGGCTGATATATCTTCTAAGCTGTAATTTCAGCCATTTAACAATATATATTTAATCGTGATTTCAATCAATGGACAACATTTATTTCTACGTACTCTTGGCTGCATGCCTTTTGGATTTAGTGAAAGGAAATTTTGTTAGGTATGTTTCATCAGATATAGTATTTTCTGTGGCACAAAAGCTTGGCTCATTCCCAAAACAAGTTTTGAAATAAAGTTCTTTGTGCTTGGGTTTTTTTATTTTGCTAATCTAATAAAATTTTGGAGCTTCGCTCTAGCTCTATATTTTTCATTCTTTTTCTTTCTTTATTTTTATGCTATGTGTGCCTTGCAACCCTTGTAAGTCAAAATTTTGGTATTGTCTACAAACAAATTTGGATGCAGCAATAACTTTTGTGATTTCCATCGTGCATGTTGCACTGGTTTCAAGATGGTTTTATTATCAATGGGCTGGGATGTGTATTTTACCTTTTTTTTTAAATCTATTGAAATACACGTCATTAGCAAATGATAAGTGCTCGTCTCCAAGAACTTATTTCAATAACTCATCAGGGTCGGTTTATTTTTCAGTGCATGGTGTCTTTTTGAAATTTCTCATTTCTTTACATATTTTCAGTTTCATGCATATCTTTGTAGATTTTTATGATTGGTTTCTGAATGTCTAAAACCTTCTTGGATTTGTGAAGCTACATCTTGATTGCATTGTAGAATAAATGATTTTTTGATGGTTATGTTACTTCCATTCAACTTTGTTTTTTTTCCTGGAATACCTGTGCTACAAATAATCCGTGCATGGTTTGTGTTTGTTCTAAGCTTTCCCATGCAATGAGAAACAGCTCGATTCTCATTTACATTTTATAATTTAATTCTAAATTTGTCATCAGATCCTTTGGCCTAATGGCACCTTCTTTATGAAGTTTGGAAGCTCACAAGAAAAATCAGATAAAAGTGACTTCAGTCAGAAATCAGCTCAAAGTAGGAGCCAGCGGTACAGTGATAAAGTTGGTGGACCTAGCTCTTTTGAGTTCCAGCTTGAAGCAGCTCGCCGAGCAAGTGATGTGAAGAAGATGATTCTTGGTGAGCTTACTTAGTAAATTTCTGGTTGGTTTTAAAAGATTGAGGACAGTGAAATTTGAATTTTTGTTATTTTTTATGTGATGAATTTTCTTCTTTCCTGATATCTTTTTCTTCTATTGGAAGCACTTTTCTTAACCTTGTTTTTTTTTCAGTTTAAGGATGTTTTGGAGGATCATATAAATCTCTTTACAACCCTCTTTGCTGTTGACTAAGAGCAGCTTTCATTCACTGATTTTATCTGTTGCGTTCAGAAATGAATCATTTTTTGAAACATTATTCATATGATAATAATCTTTCTGATGCCTGGCAAAGATCTAGCATAGGAATTACAAATGTAGCTTGAAATTGGTGTTTGATGTGCATGCATGTCTTATTCTGGTCGATACATGGAGAAAACAAATATTGGAATATATTATTTAGAAATGAAGGTAGTTGTTCTTAACTATTCTGTTATCATTGGTACTAATGTATTTGGGATGAGGCTTTGATCCATATATCAAATTCTTTGAATTCTCTTGCATGCTTGAAATAAAGTTGTTTTAAACCATGTTGCTATTTAGTTTGATATCATTTCTTAATTTGACAATTTTAGATGGTATAAATATTTCGCTATGAAGTTTTGAGCTAAATCATTCCAATTAGTTATTAATATTTGGGGCAGTGAATTTAACAACATTTTAACTTTCTCTCAAAAAGAAATGGAATCAAGTTAAGTCTAATGACATCATCAAATACTTTATTTTACTTAAAAGTCACGCAAATCATTAGGAAACTAGCTATATGTAAAGTGAACCTTTAAACTGTGAGTTTTGAACCATTTAGATAATCGATGGTTTGAGTTTAAAAATATTAACAAGAGTTTTTGGCCTTTTTATAATCTGATGAATATCATGTACATGCGGCGTGACATAATCTATTAAAGGTCTAAATTGATCTAGTTCATTCAGTGAGTTTTCCATTTTTGTGAATTTTGTTAAGATTATTTTGTAAGTTTTCTATTAGTTCCTTCAATTCGGGTTTATATGGAACAAGAGTTCAGTTCTCTGCACTGTGCATACAACACAACAGTCAATTAAAAAAAAAAACAATGACAATAATGACAAGATATTAACACATACAACAAATAAAAATTAAGTGAAGGATAACAACAATAAATAAAATGAACTAGAAGTAGGAGAATTGAATAAATCTTAACTTATACAAAACAATTTTCCCAAAAAAAATCTTATACAAAACAAGTTTAGATCCTCGACAATTACAAAAAAAATATGGATTTGCTTAATGTGATGTACACAAGTGTATATGCCATGTTAGTAATATATCCGTGATAGGGTTGGTGTAGCTCATATGACAGACAAAATTAGAGAGAATCGTCTTAGATGGTTTGTCACATTAAACATCGGCCATCTAATGATCCGATTAGGAGAGTAGATGTCTTAGATTCGACTTATGTTAAGAAAGGTAGAGGTAGACCTAGGAAGACTTGGGCTTATTGTATAAAAAATGATCTTAGTTTATTTTAACTAAATGAAAATATTACACTAAATAGGACGCAATGGAAAAAAAAGGATTCATGTAGCCGACCCCACGTAAGTGGGATAGAGGCTTGTTGTTGTTGTTGTTGTTGCAGTATCCATAGTATTATTCTCACGAGGAGCATAATATTAATTTTGATAAATAATTACCAATTTAGCTCATCCTAGATTTTTATCCAATATTGTAAGAAAATATGAAACTACAATCTGAAGATTTTATTAGACTAAACTATATCGCTGAGTTTTACATTCAGAGACATAGAACACTCTAAATTTATAGTTCCTTCAAATCTATTATACTTAAATCCATAATCTAATTGTCAATTAATCAAGATGATTCTCAATCAAGAATTATGATATGTTAGCCTTTCTTTATAACTTACGTTTTACCTTTATTGATTTATTCACGATATTATCATATGAACTAGAATCATAAGATTGTATTAAGTATCGTTCTTAAATATTGCATGTTTAAATTGAATATATTCCTTTCCCAATTAGTAAACTTGCTAACATATCTTTCTTAATTAGAAAATAATTCTTTCAGTTATATTAAATATTAGATATTTTCAATTGAAATTCGGTCATAAGCTTTAACTAAATGTAGTTCAAGATATATCAAACAATTCTGAGAATAAAAGTTGCAAAAATCAAACTATTTTCTCAAGTAAAAAATTTTGTTCATGCCCCAAACTCAGATAAATACATTAGTTTCATGGCAAAATCAAACATACATTACGTAGAACTAGAGTGAATATTTGTAGAAGTGAGGAAAGTAGTGATCTGAAGAAGTCCTGTCTATAGCATTTTTTTTCTTCTTTCTACTGCTATAATGGCTTCCTCCTCTTTTGTGCTTTGATCCACACTTTTATTTGCCACACTTTAAGTTCTCTAGTCTACATTCTTTTATGTTCTATTAGCAAATGTCTCCATTCAAATAACTCCACACAATTACTTTAATAATTCTCCCAATAAGCATGAAAACTATTTTAAAATTGAATGTCGAATCATTGTGCTGCAACACTAGGCATCCTAGCTTTATATGCTTGCTGGCTTTTGGCGTGTTCTTACGATATAACACCACGGCGCTATGGGTAAGTGCCTTAGTGCTTAGCTCTTGATCCCTTCGGCTATTTTTTGCTTCTTCTAATGCCATGGTGATCCTTAATGTGGCACGATAGTGCTTTGTTCTTTATCCCAAATGCTTTTTTTGCCAATCTTATGGCATCACAATGTTGTTTAATCAGTGCCATGGCATTAAGCAATTTGGTTCTCAAGCATTGTTTCACGTTCTGAGTGCTTCCATGCTCCCTAGCCATTTGTGGTGTTGATTTTTCTATTTCTTAATCTTTTTTTGTTGATTAGCATCACAACATTGCATGATAGTGCCAAGGTTCTACCTTGACTGTTTTATTTTATTTTATTTTTAGCTTTTTACTATCTTTTTTTTTTCAATGTGGAAGTTTTGACCTTACATACCTGACATAACATGAGAAATTTCTACCATAAACATTTTATTTAGTGGTAACAATCCATAAAATTATAGTTTTTTCACTTAAATTTCACATTAAATTATTAATTATTTTATTTATTCAACTCACTAAACAGTGACTTCAAAGAAATATAGAATTTAAAGAATATGCTACTCAAGAATATGAAATCAAAGAGTTAGACATGTTAAACAAAATTCTTTGTCATTAAGTTTCACAGGCTTGCCATGAGATCTTTGTATTACAACAAAAATATATGATATTCCTATTGAAAGGGATGGCTAAGTTAAGATGCACATATATCGAAAGCGGCAAGAAATTTAATCATAAAGTTGGAGATACTCTAAAAGACATAATATTTGAAAATATCTCCTATAAGTGATGTTCGAAGACAATCCTACTTATCACATATTTGATATGCTATTACTTATATTGTTGTTCGGTTAGTCGACTTATCCACACAATCATGACGAAATCATAAGAAGGCACCACATCTAATTTTATAATATCTGAAAGAGACACGGGTAAAAGAATTTTATTTAAAAAGGATGTTGATGTAACTCCTGAAACTTACAGATGTCGATTATGTGGGTTTTATAGTTGATGGGAGGTCAACTTTAGGATATTACACCTTTTTTTAGGTTAAAATTATGATTTGGATAAGTTAAAAAAATAAAAAAATAATAAGATGATATTAAGTTGAATATAGATTTATGGCATTAAGTAACATGATATTAAGTTGAATATAGATTTATGGCATTAAGAAGTTTGATTTTCTATGGCTAAAAATTGCCTTAAACATTCAAATTTTCAATAGAAATTTCCTATATGGCTCTTTGTGATAACAATTCAATTATCAATATCACATATAATTTTGTGCAAAATAATTGTATTAATCGTATTGAAGTTTTTTATGTGCTAGAAAACTCACGGTAGTGGTGTCAATTTAACTCTTAAATTTGCACAGAAATCCAGTACACATATAAAAGAAGAGTCATGAGAGGAAACACCACAAATTTTTACGTGAAAAATCCCTAGAAAAGGAAAAAAAAATTATAGGATCTGGTCTAGTTAAAATAATTTACTATGTAATCAGAAGTACAAATGTCCACTCTTCACGTGAATTAAAGAAGAAAAATTGCAAGATGATGTTGAAATCATAACTACTATGAAATAATTCAACAGATATAACAATATAAGGGTAGTTTGAATGATAACTATTGTATTTTGATTACAATTGTGATGGTGGGGTTATAATAGTCATCTTTATAGAAGGCATAGTTGACTATAAAAGTTGTAGTAGGTGGCTATAACAATTGTAGTAGAGCTACTAAAGCTGTAATTGGAGGTTATAACACTTTATTTAGTTAAAGAAATTTTAGTTGGTGGTTATGACAGTCGTAGTTGGTTATAGAAGCTATAGTTGGTGAGCGATAAATTTTAGTGATCGACCACAATCTTGGTTGAATGACGACAATTGTCGGGACTTTAAGAGTTAAATTTTAGTTGTCAGCTCATCTTTCTTTTCTTCTCACCTCTTATCAAGTGAAGATTTGAGTCAATTTATAATTTTTGAGGACGTTTTGGTAAATTTAGTTAAGATTTTTTAACACTCCATCGGATGGTCCACATTAATTTTCTTAAGATTTTTTAACACTCCATCGGACGGTCCACATTAATTTTCTTAAGATTTTTTAACACTCCATCGGACGGTCCACATTAATTTTCTTAAGATTTTTTAACACTCCATCGGACGGTCCACATTAATTTCCTTGATCACATATAATTTTTTCAACATATAAGTGGCTTAATGACCTCTATTAGATGCTCTTTGGGTCGTTGGTTTCCTATTTTTTAACTGCTTGAATTTGATTATAAGCATGCTAAATCTAGAGATCATTTAGCCTTCTAGGTGATGCACCAAAGCCTTCAACTAAACTTTTAGTGTTTGAGCTAGGCTTATTTTTATTTATGA